TATTGTTTATATTCAGCCCCCTCTGCAAAGTTGTTCATATCAGTACCAGAGAGAGTATTTACTGTGACACTCAAGATAATAAAAAGTTTTCCTTGGTTACCTTACAACTAAGTTGCCTAGCAACGAAGCAAACATGGCAACAGCATATTTTAAAAATCACTGAACTATTCATTTGAATTATATTAATTGATGATCAGTTATAATCTGCATAACTCAATCTTGGTAAAAAAAACCCAGAAAATTGTTTTTAAGGAATGTACTATGATTTATTCAATGTTTCCATAGCAACAAACCCCATTGCCGGTGAAGGGCCAAGCATTGCTCGGCAATATGAGCAGGGAGGGATTTTTCTACACCTGCTGTTACAATTTCATTCAGCATATAATTTTAATGTAAGTGGATAAGAAACTAGCGTTGATATTCTAGTTCAATTTCATTCAGCATGTAATTTTAATGCAAGTGAATAAGACACTAATGTTACACATCAATTATTTAGCAATAATTTTTAAATTAATATTTCTTTTTTGCCAATATATTCCATAGCAACCCATTTTATTCCATAGCAACCATATATTTCATTGTTTATATCCTAGAGTTACCATGTATAAAATATCTTTTCTTTTCAATTTTTAATTACAACATGAATATATTTTGACATTTTTTGTTTATTAATACAACCTAGAAAGAAAAATAGAACAGATCAATCTATTTTCTTAACATGTGAAATATTAGAAAATGTTTCTTTCAATCATACATTGTATATGGACATTATCATTATGACATATAATTATCAATTCAATTTGCAATCATTTAATTATCAGTTTTTAACAAATATATATGTCATTAATAAATAATAACATATAGTTTAATCACACCTGATGGACATTGTTAATAGCAAAGTTACATACATGTATGTACATGTACATGTGACATGTTGATGTGTAACAAAGACATGTTCATGTAAACATCCAACAATCAAATGGGACTTCATACAATCATATTGTTTAAACGTTTTAAAATAGATTCTTCAATGTCTACAATCAAAAACAAGGAGAGAAATGTGCTCCTCAAACATGTACACATTATGAATATGTACTGCTATTATTAATGCAACATATTTTTACAACTACATATGTTAATGCATGTACCTTTCCTCAATCCCAAAGATAAAGATACTTGTTAAGTACTACACCTTTTGTACTATATAATATCTTCAAAGCAAAATTATTTTCTGCATTTATAAATATTACACTCAAAATTAGACTGTCTTTACATTTGTTTGTACTAACACTGTGTCATAAATTGTAACTATATTTGAATGTTGAAACAATGAATATTAACAGGAAGATCTACAAACAGCATATCAAATTAACCTTCAAAACTGAATTGCAAATGTCATAGTAATGTCATCAATAGGAATTACAATTTAACATTGGATTATCATCACTCCAACTCTCCATTTCACTGTCTGTTTCTGGAGGGATGCTGGCATCAGTAATAGAGCTATGGAATTTCACTCTTTGAAAATCAGTTCCTTGGAAGCGATGGTATCCAAGATACCAAAGAACACTAGCGACATGGGCACAACATCCCACAACACGTGCACCAACTTTGCAAGTGCAATACCATCCTATGATTTCATCTAGATTATAATGAATAAAAACTGTATGACGGACGCTACCTGAATGCCTTGACTTAAGTTTAACCCGGAGCAGATTTTCAATTGGATTACACACATAAACTTCATACTGATCTTCTGAAAAATTATCTATCACATAGTTCTTTGCTTCCTTTAGTTGATATATTCCAAGTGTTATTTCTCTAAGTTTGTCCATGGACAATACAGGGAAATCTTGTACAGGCAGAGAGTTGTCACTGGTACATGTACTCATTTCAACTTTCTTGAAAATTGACCTTTTCTTCAAGAGCCCCTCCTCCTCTACCATTCTCTGAACATCATTTCTCTGAGAACTTCTTTCCAACATTTTGTTTGCCAATTCCTCTGATGAAGGATCCATGTTTGCCAACTGTGGGCGATAACAGTTGAATAATGAGCACACAATACGAAGAAAATCACCAATGTAAGGGATGTAATGATTGGAAACAACTTTGTCAAAGAACTTCCACTGCTTAATTCGTGAATTGACGCTTTCAACCACCCACCTAACTTTAGTCACAAGCCTGCTGGTATTGGCCTCTTCTGTGTTATGCTGTTTGTTGCCTTTTTGTAGATAATGTGGCATTTCCACATTAAATCCCTCTTCTTTGAGGTATGCCGACACATCCCTAAATCCACGATCCACAATAAAAATATCATTGTCATTCAGCCAAACCTTCATTCCTTCACTGTTAGTTTTCAGAATATGCTTTGTGATTGAAGTGTCATTATTCTTTGCATAGTAAGGTCCCAAAATGGACAGGATGTATCCATCAGTTCCGACAATGACCATAGGTTTTAGTAGTGGTCTGTGTTTGTACATACTAAATGACATTCGTTGAAAGGTATAATCAGAGCTCTTTTGAATGTAAATGTATGTGCCATCCAAAACAATGATGGCAGCATCATCATTATTATTTGAAAACAGCCTTTTGGAAATGGGTGTAGTATGTTGGGATACAAAATCAGCATGGGAAATATGATGAAATCCAATGTGCTGTGGGACAAACTCTTGCATCAAACAAGATCGGGCACTGTGAACACATCTCTGAATTTGGCTCTTGGTAAGGGAAAATATAACACCCAATAGATGGTTTGGTAAACCAGTCCTGAGCTTAGTCAGTAAGATGGCAACACAAGTTTTAATTGTCCGTACACTGCTGTTCTTCAGAGTGGTTAAATGTGACACTACATCTTCAAAATGTTGTTTGTTAAGACCAGTTAAGCTATAACACACACTGTCAGACAATAAATGCAGATGTTCAAAGTTGACACCACTGGAATGAGTTAAAGTCTTTCGAACATTTTCCAACAATGTTACAATATCAGTTCTGTTGAATGACGTTTTTGAATATTTTGATTTAATCAACTTTAGTGCTTCTTCTGAGAAGATTTTGTTTGTCAAATGAATTACACAACAGCGTGCTTGGCTATCAATAAAAATCCCCTTCTCAATAAATGATTGAGTCCTTGCACTAAGTGGAACAATACATGATTTCCTTCCTTTGGTGAGATGTTCTTTGCAAATAACACAGTACTTATGGGAGGATGCAGTTGATTGAACATGTAGAGTTATGTTTTTAGGACTCCGCAAAACTTCGCTTGTTGTATTTTCAATGTTTACGATAAAGTCTGCATCTTCGTCATCCGAGATTACGCCTTCAATGAGTGTTGCACGTTTTTGAGTTGCTCTTGATTTAACAACAGTTTTTCTGTACACAGCTCTGCATTTGTCACAAATAACATCATCACATTGAATTTCTCTGTTTATCAGTTTAGTGACAAATCTTTTCAATGGTTTAGTTTTGATAGGTCTCCTTTGCTTTAGGTGTGCCCTCCCACAAACAGCACATTTGTATGACTTGGGCATATCTACAAAATAAATCTGCTACATGTATTCTACTTTATTTGCAAAAAAGTAATGTAAATATTTCTACCTTAATGGGAGGGGGGGTCCTCAGACCAATAATGGATTTTTATACGGGGATTTGATCTTTAGTGCATATATGTTTTACACAGAGAAAAAAAATGCAGCTTTCGTGACGGCCAACTATTTAATAACAGGTCCAGTGCAGATAATAGATTTAGCTGCATAGATAGAATTACCTAGGTAGCTTTCATTATTTAGCTTTTACATTGCAGCTTTTCACACTTTTTCTTTTTATTAAAAAAAGACGAAAAGTGCAATTGGGGTTTTAAAAAACAACCCAAAGCAGAGATAATTCAAATATTGCTGCATTTGAACATACTGAAGTAAAATATGTAATTCTATTGTTTGGGTTAAGTCTGTTCCTTATCTTGTGTGCAGTGAGGCATTGATAAGTATGATTTACTTCACATTGTGCTGAATAATTACCAATGCATTATCAAGTTACATGTTAACAAGAACTGGACTTCTTTGTTAATTCATTCAAGGAGTAACTATTGTATAAAGCCCCAAAACTTGCAGAACTTTGATAGAGATTGCACAGAAAAAGACATTTCTTCAAGAGTGATTTTTCATGTTTCTGCAAATCCTAATAATTATGCTTTTTTATGAAATAAGATTGATTTGGTAGCTAAATAAAGCTACGACAGGTAGGTAAATCAAGGTATGTACAATATCAAGCTACGTAGCTATTAAATCTAGTGTTCATCGTGTTTGTACTGGACCTGAATAACTCAAAGTAGAGGTCTGGTGTATTTTAATTATAAAAATATTACATTCACATTTTCCCCTTCAAAATCAATGACTATGCATTTAAAAATGCACTACATGTACTGTGTCGTCGATATTGGTTTATTACAAAGTTTTTTTTTTTCACAACACATACAGTATTTCCTTGTCCACATGAACACACGACTTTCACATTTACAAAAGTTATTCCCATTTGAGGGGTCAATCTGGGGTCAACCGGCGTAAGACACTGTTTTCCCTCTGTAAACTTACCAGCTTAATGGGACAGTATCTCAGAAATAACATCTGTATGAATATGTTCATTACGTTTTTCATGTTGCCCCATATTCTGGCAATACAGGTACAGATCGATAAAGTTTAAAGATTAAAAATATTAACAGGTAACTTACAAAGGACAAAGTTTTCTGCCGACATTTAAGGAATTATGCTTTTTTTATATTAAATATAACATAACTTTGGTAGCTTTATAAACCGCGAAACGGTTGATAAAAAAGCGTAAACAGCCGCAAGTTTTGTTATATCAATAATATAAGTTGAAATTAAATTTAGTGTTATAATTTAATTTCAGTGGACCTGAATAACTCATCTCTGGATAAAGCTTTTAATTAAATTTTAAAAGTATAAGCGGAGTAATACGTTTTTTGACGTTACTCATTGTGACGTAGGCAAGTTATGTTATACAAAATGGATAAAATCTTTTATCCAATCAAATGACGTGTTACAAGTAAAATTAAATTATTGGGAGATAACTCTTAGGAATGAGAAATTCGTCTATATGCTGGTGATCATGCTGATATGTTAGGCCTATGAAATGTTTCAAAGTAGAGGAAATTTCATATTTATTACTTAATTGGCATAAATAACTTGACAACGTTCTATCAACTGCTATGAATAACTTACCGAAAGGAGGCGATTATTTGTGCAGTGGTTCATTGTGATCGTCTGTTTTCCAGCCGACAGCCAAAGTATAACGTTACCGGAAGTTACCGACGCAGTGTAAAAGTGAAATCGTATCTTAAATATTTTCACCTTTCAAAGCATATATATATATTCGAATTGAAGATTGATTCAAATAAGTGCAACAAAAACTATACCTCAGGTGGTTTATGTTGTAAATGACAGAGTAAGCAATAATCATCAATTCAAACTCTCAATAAAACATTCCGGATAAATCTAGGATTTTCTCTTCCGTCACTGGCTGAGTTCGCGACGACTTAAAAATTTTTCTAAAAATAAATATGAGCGGAGGAGAGACCCACAACGAATTTTTGACAGTCTATTTAAAATACGAAAGAGATTAGGCACACAACAAATGGTCGTGGGTCTTGCCTCTGCTCATAGTTAAATCTTACATATTTTGTGACGCAAGGAACGTTTTTTGGAAGAAAAGTAGAGACAATCATTTAAATCAGTACCCAGGATTAATTAAAATGACCAAAATATTTTAATTGTTATCTTTTTAAAGAAATACAAATTCAGTTTTTCTTTTTTATAAAACATCAACTCCTGACTGAACTCTTTATTTGTTCCAGTTCAGGGAGGCAGATGATATATTGAAACCATATCTTGTTCTTTCCGTGACATTCTGGTGTACATGAAGCAGATAGGTTTATAAAAAACTAAAAATTAACACTGTGCACTGAAAAAAAATGTTACGAGTATAGTTCGAATTTCCTCGACAATACATTATATAGAGAATATACAGTATCCTTGACCCAAGCGCCTATAATACATATTTACATTTTACTTTGAACACCATCTTCGCTAGCTAAGGGTTTCTGATACGCTACTCTCCTCGTTAGGAGAGTAGCATATTAGAAACCCTTGGCTAGCGAAGATGTTCGAACACGTTTGATTTTCTTTGCAAGATTTTGCCAAAATTAGAAGCAGTGAGTCGCTTTTTTCGTTCATTATACCACAGTTCAGACTGGCTTTGTTCACGAGTGTTGATTTCAATTTCAATAGGTTTACATTCTTTGTAATCTTCATTTAAATCAATAAACTGGTTTGGCAAAGGGACAGGGGCTTGCTGGAACACATCTGTATTACCACAACCATCTGATTTTGCTGGCTCAACTTCCTTAATATTTTTTGTCTGAAAAATATTTCTTAGCATAAGCAATTTGAAGTACAAAATTATTAATTTTTTTTCTAGGGGTTTCTGGGATTGATATGTTTGCAATGGCCACTGAACTACACGTGTTAAAAGAAAAAGAGAAGCAGTATAAAGACACCATCTGCAAACTGGAAACAGAAATAAAAGAGCTTAAAGATCAACAGCTATCTCAAAATCAGAAGCCAACATTTGGAGTTGATGAAGTACTAAGAAAACAGGGAAAGTTAAAAAATGTATTCAAATATTACACTGGGATCGCATACATTAGATTTGCAGGTCTTCTGGCATTTTTGATACCTGATGGATCCTCGACAAATTATGAAAAGGGTCGAAAAAGACATCAGGAAATTGTCAATGCAAGATGGACTGTTTTTAACTTTATGTAGATTGAGACATAATTTTGGTCTAAAAGATCTATCAGTAAGGTTTAAACTATCACTACAGTCATCGGGAATTGTATTCAATACTTGGATTTCACATATGTACTTTAAATTGGGGCAACTTTGTATCTGGCCACATCGTGATATTATTATTAATAACATGCCAAAAGATTTTAAACATGATTACCCCACAACTTTGATTATAATTGATGGGACTGAATTTAGAACACAAGCACCATGTGCACTCAGCTTGCAAAGTCAGCTTTATAGTGATTATAAATCAAGCACTACTTTAAAGGCATTAATTGGTTAGATCCAAATGGTTCAGTGATTTTTGCATCCGAATTGTTTACAGGATGTATATCAGATAAACAAATTTGTGAACAGTCTGGGTTTTATGATGTTCTTGAAACACTTCAGTCAAAGGGTTATGTTAAAGAAGGCGATGCTATCATGGCTGATAAAGGATTTACTATTAAAGAAGAATTATGTAAACTTAATTTGCTGCTGAATATTCCACCGATGGCTTCATCAACATGTCAAATGTCGCTTTCAGATACTATCCTTACTGAAAAAATTGCAAAACATAGCGTGCACATTGAAAGACTTATTGCTAAAGTTAAAACCTACAAGATACTATCTGTGCGCATCCCAACATCATTGTTTAAAATTATTAACAAAATTTGGTCTGTATGTTGTCACTTGACACTTTTTCATGATGTGTTTGTAACAGACAGTAAACATAGTAAGTAGTCTACTTTATTCTGAGTTAAGCATGTCAGTTGTATTGACACATATCATTGACTTTGGCATTTAGCATTGTGATGTGGATAATTTTTATACTGTATTTTTAAATTTATTAGCAAATTTTCCAACTGCATTGATATTTAGATTAAATATTAATTGTGGTAATTGTAAACATGTACCTGATATGACAATATTGAGCCTATCTGCACATCACCAAGGGGGGTGTTTACTAATGGGTGATCTGCAGACACAGTATATTCCAAAGGGGTTCCTTTTAATGAACTCAGCTGCAGTATGTCATTTTTGGACACTTTGGGTAGACTGATATTAAAATATGATGTATGAATTAATATTTTTCAATTTGTGATTTTTTTTATATTATTTGTATTATTATTATGACTGATCAATTAAAAAAACTGAACTTATATTTATATGAAATTGTAGCCATGAAGAATACTGTATTATTAAATGCAATGGTTTTATTTCCAACAAAAAAAGTCTTCGTTTTTTCACATACTCTTGATTTAAGTCTAACTGGCATGTCACAGGTTTCCTTTTTCTTGATTCAGTTGGTCTTGCAACAACCACATGTTTAATAGGGACAGGCTTGATCATTGACCCCCTGGGCACATGCCACTGCTGTAGGATGCTTGTACAACTTTGTTGTTCAGGTACATTTGAAAAATTGTGGAGTTTGAACCCCTGCAGACTTTTTATTAGGCCAACTACATGGGAACAGTGACCATTTAAACTGCAAGGAAAATTTAAAGCTGAATTTCAGTTAGCAAAGTGGAAGAAAATGGCACATTCTTAAGCTTTGTTAAACCAATAGTCAGCATGTCTGATGATTTTTAAAAAAAAATATTTCCAATCAGGCTCATAACGTAACCAATTAAATTATCAAAAATAAATTAAAAAATTGCTAAAATCAAAGGAATTTGGCTAGGCCTAGGAAATGAAGAAGCTGGTCTTTATAATACTTATTGTGTATTTTGACAGAATTTATTCATTTTATATCAATTAATAAAAATCCTGAACCATGCAGTTGATTATTTATCACGTCAACATATATATCGGTGAAAATTAATTGGGTCACCAATGTTTACATTCTGATGGGCCTTGGCCAAACTAACCCTGATAAATAACAAGATTTTCTTGATAAATACGAAAATATTTGGGTGATATATACACATACCCAACTTTACAGGAGCACTGAGATTCGGTTATCGCATTTATTTTAATTTCCAAACTAAGTTGGTGCGGCGATTGATTTTTTCTCATCGACCTCCAGCATCTTGCAGCGACTTGTACGGAGTTATCCAAACTGAAAATCTTAATATTATGAATATACCCTTGGGTAAAGTAATTCAACCCCTTCTGTAAAACTTTATCTGATAATTTTGAATTGTTGGGTAGGTATTTCACACAGAAATCGTCAGGAATCAACTTTAAACTGTCGGTCGCCACCGAAAATGATGCAGCCTGCATCGCCATAATGTGGGACTTAGTAACGGTAGCTAAGGTGGGCGGAGCTACGGAAGACAAGTCGGAACTATGAATTAAATAAAGTTACTGTAGGTATGTCAAGCTACATTACTAAATTCATTGATTGTACTGGATGTGACATGTACTGATTTATCGTGATTTCTTAATGTCTTTATTTTCAACTGTACATCAGTCACTCCTGCATTATGGAAATGTGAACTCTTATATAAAACTGAATAGCTTAGTGGTGAAAGCGTCATTTCTTTATGCAATGGAGACAGTGGTTCGATTCCACTTTCAGTTTGTTCCCAGCAGGCATTTCAACGTTGATTCAACGTTGAATCAACGTTGCACTTCAACGTTGAATCAACGTTGAATTTTGGTTGCATATGAAAGTTGAGGCAACGTTGAGACATAACGTTGTTTCAACGTCAATTTTCAACGTTGAATAAACGTTGAAAATGGGTTGAATTTTTGGTTGATTTATGGTTGATTTTTGGTTGCAAATGAAAGTTGAGGCAACGTTGAAGCTTCAACGTTGTTTCAACGTCAAATATCAACATTGAACAAAAGTGAACATTGGTTGAAAATAGGTTGAAATTTGGTTGAAATTTTTCGGATGTACAAACGTTGATATTTGGTTGAAATCACGTTGAATTCATATTACATTTTGCTTTATAAACAAATACATTTCAAATTCTAATAAAAAATTTTATTCAAGTTGCGTAATATTTATATAAGTTGTAATCAAGTATTATGATTATGAGAGAATTAATTTTACATGTTTTTTTTTAGACAAACACAAATTCGGATTCAATCACTGAATCTCAAAAACCACTGCTTGACAAAATTTATATTCCTTGGGAAAAGTGGGTCACAAAAATCACATCCAGGTCCTTCAAAGTACGCGTATGCCTTACACTTCTAAGTTCCATAAAGTGGCAGATCCATTGATTTTAATCACGCATAGAGTTAAGTCCCACGAATGAAAGAAATGAGCAGGAGAATCCACCCTCCAGCCCTCTAAGCAAAAGCCTATTGATAAAAGAAATAAAGATGTTAAATCCATTTGTTCGATAAAATGTACGTTCACATGTAACACGTTATATCAAACGATAAAAATAAATATACATGAATGATTTAAAAAATCAGATAAAGGAATATATTCCGGTACTTGTATTTAATTAACATGATTAAAAGAATTAATGTTGACTTTATGTTAAAATTCGTATGAGTATGCTTATAAATAATTATTACTAAAGAAAAATGTTATAGACAAACACATAGTGTACTTACAAAATGTTGCATTCCTTTGTATAATTTTCACGGGAGAAGAATCTGATGCAATCAAGGCTGACTATACAATCAATTCCCTGCATAACTGGTTGACTGAACCTTACGGCGAACTACAATTAGTTAAATTGTATAATATATTAGTATACTAGCTTATATTTCATAACCAAATGAATATCAACAAAACACATAACACGAACCAAGGATGTGCATTTCACGCAGATTTCAAATATACTTATAAAACAAGAATTAAATGATGAACAGATACTAAAAAACTGAATTTCTTAAATTCATGAAAAGGAAATAATACTTACTGAGCAGAAGTTGATATTCCAACCTTAATCCTTGTGTATATAGCTTGAAAAACATATTAAATATGAACAGCAAGGAGACGCGCACTTCTTGTCCATCAGTTGAATTCAAATTTTGACCTAGATACGCTGCAAACAGCTAAACTCTGCCCAGCAAGAAAATTGCATTAAAAGGTTATCCTGACACTGAAACTGACCAACTAAGCGAGAGGCACTCCTTATCTGATATCTCGAAGGTTTTTGGGGAGTGGATCTTGAGTAATACAACTTGACCGGGGTTAATTGTCAGTGTGAAAATTCTTATGTGTTTATTTGAATTTTTTTTTTATATTTTGTGAAAAGAAAGATTATAGAATTAATACACACAGAAAATACAATCTAATAAAATAAGCTTTAAGACTTCTTAGATTCGCTCTGTATACGTATAATCTGTGCAAGAGTATACGGCACGGATCCATAAGGGTCTTACTTTAAGAACATTAATTCTGAATAATTATTTTTATTAATTCTATAGTAACATGGAATTACAGTAAGATGTTGGATAAAGATGTTAAATTATTTATTAAAAGCTTATATTTGACATATTTTAAAAACATGTGTCCAAAAAAATAGCATTCACAATTTATTGAAAAAAAACCTTTTTTTGAAACATAATTATAATGAAGTGTTAAATGTATATGCCATGCTTCATATAAACTCATGTTTAAAATTTTATAATGGTACTAGCTATTGGCACAACTCTTTTGAGTAAATCAATTCATAATGCATGCGTTTCATTTATTAAGTATAATTATTATATAGATAAAATTTTCTAACAATGCATACAGCTTTGTGTATATTGCGAAAAATTAATCGCATGGATTAGAGTTAAATTAGACACCTTTATATTTTGAACTTAAAAACTAAAGTGCTCAAAATTCGTTACCCCTTAATTGTTTCAACGTTAAATTTTCCTAACTTTCCTAAAGTTGAAAATATGTTGCATCTTGCACGTTGTTTCAACGTTGAAATCAAGTCAGTCAACTTTGCATTTTTAAACCTTGTTTTAACTTTACAATATCAGAAAATACTCAACGTTGAAAACATGTTGAATCTTCAACGTTGTTTCAACGTTGAAATATCGACGAACATTCAACGTTGAAAATATGTTGCAGCCTCAACGTTGTTTCAACGTTGAAATATCAACGAACATTCAACGTTGAAAATATGTTGCAGCTTCAACGTTGTTTCCATGTTGAAATATCGACGAACTTTCAACGTTGAAAATATGTTGCAGCCTCAACGTTGTTTCAACGTTGAAATATCGACGAACATTCAACGTTGAAAATATGTTGCAGCTTCAACGTTGTTTCAACGTTGAAAAAAGGTTGAGGATTCAACGTTGAAACCTCAACGTTGAAACAACGTTGAAATATAGTTGATCAACGTTGCAACCTATATTCCACCTCCTTTCAACGTTGAAACAACGTTGCGTGCCTGCTGGGTTACTAGTCCATTTCCTGCATGCAAACTTCCAATCAATGTAACTTAATTCTGATATCTGTATCAACTGTCAACTTCTTACTTACATTTAAACAAAAAAATGATGTCAATGCAAATATTTCTTTCCAATCACAGGACAAACAAAAAGTTTTATTTCATGTTAATGGTTGCAGATTACTCATATCAAATTAACGACTGCCACATTGATGCCACTATTAAGGTTTTGTCGAGAACAACTTTGCCATATAACACATAAATATAGACTGATGATGGGATCGGGCTCGGGATCCGAACAGGTATAATGTTCAGCTAAACTGCGAAACCTTTTTTCAACTCCCATTGAAAGAGAAAGGATCCATCATCAGTAATATTAATTGAAGGTGATTGAAGTAACCAATTGACATCGATATTATCCATATAAGCTATTATTTCTAATTTGTTTCAAATACACGTGGCTTCCTAGCTCGAATTTCCTCGACCGCAGTCATACAATATGTCGAATGCAACGGAAGAATTCGAGTGTCTTAAAGACCTATCGACTGTTGACGTATCAATAACAAACCTTCACAATGATTACCCAGAGAATTGTATTCCTAACAAACTCCGCCCGCCTACCGGGTCCAAAGCAAGACAGGCGGCATACGAAGAAATTAATCCACACCTCTATGAAGAACAAGCCAGGATGGTAGCATTTCGAACAAAACGGGAACGTGTATTCGCCTGGATTAGAGCTCTACAAATTATATACTTAGAAAAGCTGAAAATGTGTAACTCTGTCGAAGTCAAATGGTATAACAACCCAGAAAAGTGGGATACTACCAACAATACCATAACAAACCATTCTATTTGCATAGACATTGGGGATGATACTAGTCTACACTACAAGATAACATTTTTCGTGTCAACCGGCACTATTCAGGTCCATGGAAATGGAAAAGATTCATTCGTGACCAAAATCTTCCCACTGCTGAAAGAATTAGTGAATAGAATTACTGCATCGACCGAAGGAGAGGAAACCACCTTAAATCTGTAACTGAAAATCCGCAAAGCCAAAACTCTAACCAGGAACAATTGCTAAATGGTGATCAAAGCCAAATTGTTTCAGCTTCTGTGCATTCCTGGATAGATTTCAAGAAAGTATGGTCCTAGCTTTAGAGGAAATGAGCAAATCTCACACTGGACTCGTGAAAACCTTAGAAACAAGATTCTTAAAAGGTTTGGAATCACTTCAAAGTACAGTTAGTACTCTTTCTTTAGCCGTTGAAAACTTGAACAGCCAGTACAGTAAAATGTCAACAACACCAAATAAATCAAAAAGTCCTGAAAATGAAATTAACTCAATAAAAAACAAGCTTAAGAAATCAGATGAAATCAAGAATGAACTTCAAGTTAAAATCGCAAATCAACAACTTGAATTAGAAACTAAAGAAGCCCAACTGAAGAATGAAAAAATCATGCACAATACATGCAAACAACAACTCCTTGACTTGTTGGAAGCAAACAAATCAGAAAGCTCAACATTAGTGGAAAAACTAAAAACAAAAAATGAAGAGTTACTCAACATGGAAAATGAGAACAAAATCCTCAAAGAAAAAAACGAGGCACTTTTTAAGGAGATTCTTGGTTTGAAAATGCACTGGATGAAAAGTCTAGTTTCCGCAAAACTGAAACTATGCGGAAACCTTGCTGAAACTTGGCGTTGAAGTTTCCTGTATGGTTTCCGCAATGCGGAAACTATATAATAGTTTCAGCAAGTTTCAGTAGGGTTTCCGTATACTGAAACCATTAGGTTTGTTTCCTAATAGTTTCCGCAAAACGGAAACCAATGTAAGATTTAATGAAACGTCAATTTAAAGATACGTTTTAGTTTCAGTAGGTTTCCGTTTCCGGAAACTATTAATTTCGATTCCATATGGTTTCCGCATGCTGAAACCGTACTGAAACTTTTTCTATTTTTTTTTTCAAAAGGGTAGAAAAATCAACTCGTATGCATATGATCTTTTTACTATTGATTTCGATTCCATATGGTTTCCGCATGCTGAAACCGAACTGAAACTTTTTCTCTTTAATTTTTTTTCAAAAGGGTAGAAAATCAACTCATATCATTCTTATATTTATTTACACATTTTAAAAAATGGTTTTATTTTTAAATATCTAATATTTCATATTCAGATTTTGAGATGTGCCTGCTCTGTGTAAACTTATACATACCGATATTGATATCAATGATAAGCATATTATACAAGAACTTTGCTTCATATTAAATGTATAAAAAATGTTTATTTCATATTGTGTCGGAATTCAAAAATATTACTTTTAAACAAAATCGATTCCTCTCACAAGGATTTTCTACATTACCCAACTCAATACCCCCCTCGGGAATTGATTATTTTGAAAACATACATCATTTTCACAAAACTACGATTACGTTTCATGTAAAGTTGTTTAAAAAGAAAATTAGTGTGTCTTTATGGTGCATGAAATACAGATAATTACGAGATGAACATAATCCGAGATAGAAAGGTTTGCATTTATATTCTTTATACATGTTTCTATATATATTTTCCTTAATGAATATCATTTCAATAATTTCAATTTGTTAACAATACATATTGACTAGGAAGCCTTTTTTACTATTCATATATATATAGTTCAATAGTTACATGTACTAGTTATTTTTATAATAACATTGATTTAATATCTACATATATGTATTTTTATTTCCGTCTTCGTAAAAACATTTTATTCGTAAGCCGCGGTTTTACAGCATTAAAAAATGTCCTGAAAATTTGATGTCATGGTTCCCAGGATTTGCAGCATTTTATGTCAATCTGATTAAAATTAATCTTCCATTTGTTCCCCCAAATGTTTATTTACACGAGGAACTCTTATATGTAAAAAGTCTGCTTTTGTGAAACAATACCCTGGGAGCGAATGGAAAATCTCAAAATTTTAATTAGATTGCATATTATGTGTAGGCTTTTTTTTTTTTTTTTTATTTTGTTTTATTTCATATATCTTGCTTTCGTGATGTTAATTAATGCAGTATCACTGAAAACGCTGTATAATTTTTAGTAATATGTTCAATTATATTCGTATTGAGATGTATAATGTGCTAAATATGTGATATAGAACTCAGTTTTTTTTTTAAATAAAATTAAAGTAGTCTGTAAGTTGATCAAATTTTCAATTCTTTACGTTGAACCCCACTCGCGGGCACCTGTCCTCACGTGCCACAGGTGGGGAGACACGTGTCGCGAAGACACCTGCTACCGTGTTGGTGTATTTTTTGTATATTCTATGTGGATTGAGAGGTTTTTCTACCTTAGAGGAACAATGGACTGTGACCAGGCGTAATATATACACGCAGTACATGGTATACACAACTAGCCTTTTCTAATGACACCAAGGTTTCTGAACATTCAAAATTAAAAAAAAAATCACACTATATAAAACTTCATCTAAAATCAAACATGTCATATGTATAATGTGTTATGTAAAATATTTCATACAATGTTTCATATTCAGCATATTAAGAAGTTTTTATTTTATGTGTTGGTGATTAAAAGAAAATAGACAAACCTCTTAAATATTTATCTATCAATCTAATATAATAAAATTAACCTATTGGTAAGGAAAATATTTGCTATAGCTAGTTCAATAGACTATTTCAAAAATTTTAATATTATTTTACAATTTCTCCACAAAAAAAAGAAATCGGCTATCACAAAAAGAAATCGACAATTAATGGTATTCCTTGATTGCCACCATTGTAAACTTCAAATATTGAAAATATTTAGAGGTCAATGAAACGCAACCTAATGAAAACTAAGTCTATTTTATTTCATAACTTTTTTCTATAGGTTATTTCTAAGTACATTATATTAAAACAACGTTTTATTTCTAATTTAGAGTCCAAAACATAAAAGTGTGAGATTATTACAATAATAAGGAAAAAATAAGTCAATCAACAGCAAAACAATTATTAAAAGCAATTAATAATCCCGTATTATAAAGGAATAAAGAAGAATTTACATATGACATGTGTAAAGGACTATGACCACTTCTATTACATGATATCATTTATATAAATTTGCCTGCAAAATTAAGAGTTTCCGTATCTTCTGTATTGAGTGACCAATATTTTTTGGGTTCATCATCTAAAACTGAGAAGTATGGAGATTTACTATTAATAAACTGAGATTTTTTTTTTTTTTTTTTTTTGGGGGGGGGGACATGTTTGACGATCATATATATATATATATATATATATATATATATATATTTTACATGACAATGTTATAAAAACAAAATGAATGTTACATCTACATAATCGATCTTCAGGAGAAATATTGGTAAATCTCCCCACTCCAATTTGTAAGCTGTGACAGGAAATTCCTAGATAACAAATAGACTTGTACATTCATGTTGATATTTTCTTAGTAGAAAATTTTCAACAATTGATGAATAATTCTTATAACCCCAATTTTGCTTTTGAGTTGCACATATGTGGTTAATATGCCATCAGCATAACTTTGTTGACTTGTATACCATTTTCTTTTTTCTTTTCTTTTCTTTTTTTTTTTTACACAATAATCGATGTACATGTCATTGTGTACATGTGACTTTAAATCATTCTATTTGAAAACATTAGGACATTCAAAGTCCGTTTCAACAATTACCATAATCATGTAATAAAGGTCTAAAATTCGCTTTTTATCCCCTTCGATTCCATGATCAATTTTATTTTATCATTCAAAACTGTTCATTCTGTTGCAATATAATTATATACAAGGACATTTGCATTTAAAACGTAAAAAAAATTGCCAAAAGAGAAATGCAAAAACTAAACTGAATTTTCCGTAAAGAATTTGAATCACTAGGTGGCGTATCGCGGCAGAATGCTTCTCTCTCATTGGTTAGATTTTCAGAGAAGAAAGAAGGACAAAATGGCGAAGAAAACACCAAGAATTTGCTCAAGAAAAACAACAGAGATGAGAAGATCTTTTGAATCTACACTAAAGAAAGGCACCCCAAACGGCAGATTAGATACAGGTAGTTATTTGTTAGAGTTCAGAGCATCTTTATTTTTGTTTTTATCGTCTGAAATCGTAAGAATAATGTTGACCTAAAATGGCGCGTTCCAAAAATTCAAAATGACCATTGTACAGTTGTAATATTATTGTGAAAAAGCGCCTTGTAAATCATTCCCAGCTTAGGTTGTTATACATATAATTAACTGCTGTTTAAACGCATGCATGTATTGTGCACCATTGTATTTAACTTTCATGTTTTTCGTATTCTGCATCGTCCCGATCATGTAAAATTTACATAATTTAAAAATTACAACGTGTTGTAGCGGTACTACGAATCACCGGAATGCCCCGTAATCACCGAAATGCCCCTACAAATCACCGGAATGCCACCGAAATGCCCCTTATTTTGATATAAAACTATAAAAATTTAATAAATATTTATTCTATCGGCTGTTATAAGGTATATCTACATTTAAAAAAATCATATTTTTACACACAGATTTTTTATTAAAAGATATAAATATTAGCATCAAAGAAAGATAACTCTCGTAATTGAAACATGAATGTGCTCTGTATAAAAACAGAAAACGATGCAAATTTTTATCTGTTTAATAAATTATTTGAATATCAATTGTATAAAAAATTATAAGTAAATAATTTATTTATTTTTTGTAAATAAATTTTATTATTAACTAGAGATTGTACAACATAGAGGCTTTATCTCCAATGCGAGTTATCGCCCTTTGAAGTACTTGACGCTTCGAGAAGCAACACTTGAAAATATTTAATTTTGCTAGAAGTTATGCATATATAAAAAATATAAGCATTGATTTTTATGAAAATCATCATTTTAAATCATATGAAGGGGCATTTCGGTGATTTCAATGGGCATTCCGGTGATTTGTAGGGGCATTTCGGTGATTACAGGGCATTCCGGTGATTCGTGTTACCCGTGTTGTAGTATTCCGGAATTTTAAATGTAGGTTGGTTTTAGAGGATAATATCGTTATGTACTTGTATCCGGTGTTAACTTTTTCATTTGGAAAATCGAAAGATTTGACCCCACGCTTATATTTTTCAGAAAAGGTAAGCTTTATTGTTCATTATAGCTGCTGGATGTGTTCAATGTTATTCTCAGAAGTAGTTTCTTGAATCGTACATTTATTTTTTGCTGAATTGTTACCGGCCGCCAGGAGGCGGTCGGTTATATGATATGAAAGTTTTAAGTCGCCGTGCGTTTCTGCGGAGTTAGAACAATTTGAATAAAAATATTTAACATCCATGTAATAGAATATTAAGAAAGATTTTTTAAATGTTAAACAAAAACGCAAAATAATCATAAAATTAAAATTTTTATAAATAATGGGTTAAATGTTTCATCCAATCCTGATTGACAAATTCTGACGTAACTGAAGTGCAGAGAAATAAGCACACATGTTGGGCATAGTCTAAAGCAAGGACCGCGTTATATACATGTATAAACAAATTTACTTTCCCTACTTCAACAGGATTTGTTGTATATATAATCTAAAATGACGTGTAAATATAAATATACAATGTACTTTTAATACGTAAAGTTTTCAAAAATATGACTTAATCTTAGTTTATTATCAGACAGAATATTAGGAGATTTTTCTCCAACAGACAAGGACAAAGCGCGTTTTACAATATGCCAAGCCTTTTCCCGCCACATCTCACACCAAAACAAGATAGAGAAAAACTGTAGTGGCGGATCTAGAGGGAATTTTGGGGTTTCAACATCCTCTGAGCGAGCGAGGAGCCCCACATAGTTGTTACGTTTTATTTAAAGTTAAACTATCTCTAGTTAGATAAGTTTAAACGTTAGTTTTGATGGTTAAGTGTTTAAAACTACTTAAACATCAAACTTCCGCCAGAGTTCGTTTGTACAAATGAAACTGAGTGCGGGGACGCAGAGGACTGTGAGTAAGTTGCTTACACAGGCCTTTAGATCGCTATTTTTTTTTTTACACACAATTGTTTTTTCAAGCGATCCAAAAGCCTGTGGTTGCTTAAATACATTGTACTTGTAGCAATGTACAGAGATTATGTACTGAAGAAAACCCTGGAATGTCGCATTCAAATGTTTAATGTCATAGGGATAGAAATCTATATATTAACAGATAAATATAAGAATTTAGTTTCCAATTGTATCATGAAAGAATTAATTAATTGGTTTGCGGCCGATTTTTGACGCTTGCGTCAATATGTTTCTTGTTTTTATTATTGATGGAAGACTGTGCTGCACAGCTGAGGAAGGGGTTCAATATATTTTCAACATACAGCGCTATGACAAAAGTATTCGCGATTTTTACGCAATGGCGTCTTTCTTGCGCTGCGCCTCGCTCGGGGAATGGGAAATAACTCTAATTAGATGCCGTGTTGACAAACGAAATTTTTACAGAGTTGTCTTCACATCGGAAGTGACGTTATATGTAAGTATTTTTATCGTCTGCTGTCTTGGATTTTATGTAAACACACAGATATTACGATGGGTAGGAAATCTACAGAAATATCAAATGATGTCAAAAAATTAATTGTGGAAATGAAAAAGGAGGGGCAAAAAACATCAGTAATTGTGAATTTATTACAAATACCTGAGTCAACCATCAGATCTATTTGGAAAAAATATTTGTCAACTGGTGAAGTCAAAACATTGAAAAGAAAAGGACGCCCTCGGAAGCTGTCAAAACGAGATCAGAACTGGATTATTAGACATACTAAAACTAACAGAGGACGGGTTTTAAAGGATATTACTAATGAATTTAATGAAAGCAGGGATGCTAATGACTTTGTTAATCCACGGACAGTCCAAAGATTTTTGCGTGATCATGATTATAAGCGAAGAGTTGTTAGAAAAAAAATGGTCGTTTCCGAGATCAACAGAAAAAGGCGTGTTGCATGGTGTTTAGAGAAAAGAAAACTCACAGTGAATAATTATTGGAATACAATTATATTTTCTGATGAAAGTCAGATAGTTTTAGGAGAGAATCATAGAGTGTATGTGTGGAGAACATCTAAAGAATCGTACTTGCCGCAGTGCATGTGCCCCCCTCGGCAGAGAAGGATTTCGGTAATGGTGTGGGGATGCATCACTTACCACGGGGTTGGTACACTTTGCATGGTCAATGGAAATATCAATGCAGTAAAATACATATCCATTTTAGAAGATCAACTTTGGCCCGTAATTGCCCGACATTTCCTCAACAAAACCTATCGTTTTCAAGACGACAACGCCCCCGTCCATAGAGCTCGTATTACTGTAGATTACAAACAACAAAATAATATTCCTACAATTGTATGGCCAGCTCAATCACCGGACATTAATATTATAGAGAATTTATGGCTAAAAATCAAGAGAACTCTGCAAAATCGAGCTCCAAACATAAAGACTCCGGAAGAATTGTTCGATGCTATTTTACACATCTGGACTTCCTTCGACGAAAACTATATCAAATCCTTGTATGAATCTATTCCCCGTCGACTATTAGCAGTAATCAAGTCTAAGGGCCACCTCACCAAGTATTAATAAAGGTAAGTCTGTTATTTGTTTCACAATTTATTGTTTATTTTTACGAAGCGCATCGTGTTTACGTCCGCCATTTTGAAAAATCGCGAATACTTTTGTCATAGCGCTGTACATGCAATCTAGAATCGTAAATATTAGACATGTAAGAGGGCATCATGATGGGAGAATACCATCGTGTAGTATTGTATCACTGTGAAATGCCAATTTGTACATGTTGTAGTCATGAAAGTAAAATTCCTGAGAACTTGCAGATTTTTGGGCTATGAAAGTGACTTGATAATTTTCATAATGCCGCACATTATTCAAGTTGAAGTATTTTATTTTCATACCATACATAAGGATTTTAAAGCAAATGTCGAAAGTGAATAAACTATTTATATACAAAGATACATAAGCATTTTTTCTTACAAGGCATAATTATGATGATTTAAACTTAAAATGATATTTATTTTAAATTAAATTTTAATTTCATGTTGACACATATGCATGTTTTGATCTATATGACATAAATAAGACTACTGAAGCAACCGGAAACTTGATTTAGTGTGCATGGTTTAATTCTTCATTAAAAATTATACTTATGTTATTTTTGTACCCTGGGCTTCAAATATTAAATGTGATGCTGCACCGTGCAGTTTCTAAATATTACTTTTAAATCATATTAACCATAAACATGATTCTCTTGATATCAACAGAACAGCTATTGTTTACCTGTATATAAATTCTGCATTATGATAGACTGGAGCTTGATGAAATGAGCAATTGGCCATTATCAATTTCTTAAGTTGCATGCATTGATATTATATAGTCATATACTAGTATTTGTTTGTTGCTCGTAGAAATTATGATATCCGTTTAGAGAACTTTTTATTCATTTGGATACATCACCAACACAGTCTCTGCTCTCATCCGAGGGAGCGGTCTCTATGTACTACATTGGATTCAGACCAGTGATGTAAGAATCAGCACCTACTTCCTAACTTGAGGCATGTCGCTTTAACCACTGGGCCACACTGTGTGACCCATTATGAAAATTTGACATAATACTTTTACGTCTATATGACTTCTAAATTTTATTGACTTGATAAAATGACTGATACACAAATAAGATTTTTGTAATCTCTCTGTTTATAGCTGTTTACCATTTGCCATATTTCTATCACTAATTAAATCAATTTTCAACAATGGCCACTAAAGAGTCATAGTTCTGTCTTATTATATAAATAGTTATCTGCCCTTTATGCAAAATGGAATAAATAAAATAAAGTATTAAATGGATTATAATTTTGAATCAAAGAAGGCCTACATATCTTAAACAAACATAATTTAGATGTAGTCTTGCTTTTATGAAAAATTGTAACTTATTTAATTTTTCTCACTCTCAGATATAATTGCTTTTCAAGAACTTTTAAAGGTGTCTTCTAGCTATTCCCACTTCCTATTTTCCATCCTTTTTTTCTTTGTCATGTGTCTATTAGAATTTTAACTGAATGTCAGGTGCAAGGAAATGGACATGCAAGTGGTTTTTGGAACTTTTTTCTAGCTCATGCTAAAAACAAAAACAGTTATTAATGTAGTTTGTACGGTACTGTACTAATTTGATCTATTTTAATTTCAGATATCCACTGAACAAATCATCTGAAAACTAAGGCTAATAGGAGAGGATGAAGAATACTTCTGTTAAAAGGTATGTTTTAACAGTGAGTAAGAACTTAATATAATTTATGTAGCTCTATTAATTATTTTAGGAAATTAAGGACTAAAGCATAAAGTTTATGTTTTTATTTTCTATTGTTTTGTTAATCTCACTGTGTCATGTTAAGCTCTCTATTTAGTATTTATCGTCATGATCATAGTCAGTGTGTTGTGGGGTTGGGGGGGGGGGGGAGGGGGTTAACATGTAAGCTGCTTTCCTCTACTTTTTAAGTTTTATATAATATATTTATATGTTTCCATGAAATAAACAGATGTTAACATTTTCTTAGAAAGTCTCATTTTGCGAGCTACCTACTAAAATTGTATGATTTATTTAAGATAACTATTATCATGATTTTCAACTTCTCTGCAACCGCTCAACCAATTTCAGCCATTTTGGTGAAGGGGAACAAAATTTATAAATTTTATCCCCCCTCCCCCCGCGGGCCTGAGGGGTGGGGCCAAAACCACTAAAATTCATGCAATCTTTGAAAATCCCCTTCTTCTTTTCCCCTCCTGAACATCAAGCAGTCAAACTGTTGGTATGATTGTAATCGGCATTGAGTCCTCTACCATAATTATGAAATTCATGACCCCAGGGTCAGGGATTCTAGTATTAGGGTGGGTCTTATAGCTTTTTGGAATTAATCAAACCATTTAAGATGAAATAAAACCTATGAAAACATTCAGTAAATTTTGAAATGTCTGGCCCCAGGGTTAGTGGTTCCTGTGGGGTGGGGTACACAACTGGTGGTTATAAAATGGAATTGCATTGTATCTTTATTACTCTGATCTACCTTTGGGTATTTAGTAACCAAAGTAAGCATGTTAACTAAGTGTATAATTATGATAAACAAAGGTGCGTCTTTCAAAATTGTGAATTTCATGGCTTTTTGTTTAAATTACGAACAAAACTCAATTGAGTGGAAGTTGTTAGGCCTAGAAAAAAAAATATTTGTTTCCCCTTTCAGGCTGAAAAAATATAGGTAGATATAGGAAGGTAATTATTTTTTTTTTTTAAACTTTTTTTTTTGCTTCTTGAATGAAAAAGTGTATAGAAGTAACATTAATGACAAAAGAAATGGTGTTTTCAAGCATTTCTGTGACTTAAAAGAAAGGTAACTCAAACTTCTTTCTATTTTGAGCATGTTGAAAAGCTTGCAAAGTTGGAGACTATAATTCCCTGGGTGAAATCTTGCACTTCATGGGACAAAAGCATTAAAAAAAAATTAGGGTCGGCACTATATATTAGGGTCAGTCGGGAACAAACATATTTTTTTTCCTAGGCTTTACATGATACTCAGGTGACCTATAAGGTCTGTGGGCCTCTAGTTGTTATTCAAATATCATGAATCATGGTCTAAGGGTCTAGGTTAGGGGTACAAAAAATATTTTGATGAACAAGTAAAATGAAGAAAAAAATCCTTAATTTACTCTGAAAATCTTATCAGAAACAAATCCATACATACTTATTCAGTACATTTAAATACATTCAAGTTTGTTTATTTCATTATCCCTTGTCAAGTTTGTAAAAGAGGCAACTTTAATAAACTAATGAGATTTTACACTTGATAAATTTTTAGATTTTATTTTAAATCATTCTGATCAAAAATGCTGAAAATCTGAAATTAATCAAACAAAGGCTTGTGCTAGAACAGTTTTAGGAACTTTCAGTTTGTCAATCTTATTAAAATTAAATGTTAGATCTGCGCACATATTGGCTAAAATCTAATGGCATCCTGTAGAGTGTCACGTCAGACGTTAGATTCTATTAACCAATCAAATACTCGAATGCAAAAATTATTGTATTTGATTTATTGGAATGAATAAGTCTAGAGTCTGAGTTGTTCCGTATTTGACATTTGACATGACCTTCTATGGATGCTGTTAGATGTTGTGTAGCGAGTATGCAAGAGGATCTAACATGTTGTTTTATTTAGATTGGGATTTTGTTAAACTTTATTTTTATATATTTTCAAAAGGTCAATCCAACTTGAACTTGAAGTGCAAGTGGGTCTTCAAAAATGTGGACCACTCAAGGACTTTTCTGTTGGTTGATGATGGACTACAAACTGAATATTTAACAAAGAAATCCACTTTGGTGCTTATTGGCTACTAATGATGTGAACTTGTGCATTTATTATACCAAGTACTTTTACATTTCCTTGATGATACTAGACTTGCTTATACCGAATTCAGGTTTAGTTGATTGATTGCAGTTCTAAGTTCCTCTCGCAACATTATATCTCTCATGTATGAGACATCATTAAATGCAGACATTTTCTCTGTCCTCCTGTTGTGACATGAGAGCTCGGACTTAGTTGTAAAAATATTTATGATGCAAGAGAAAATAAATGGCCAAGCCAATGTATGTAAATGTTGATAATAATATTAAATATTCTTTGATAACTAGTGTGAGTGTGTTTTGTTTTTTCCAATATGAAAATTCAGGGGGAAAATGAGTTTTGGTTGAAAAGCTGGGCTAAATTGTATAATTTATAGTACAGTTTCTGTTGCGGAAACCTGTGGTACACCATATGTATTTCAACCGTATACGCATACTGAAACCTTGCGTAAACCTCAAGTTTCAGCAAGTTTCAGTTGCGGAAACCTATGGTACACCATATGTATTCCAACCGTATACGCATACTGAAACCTTGCGTAAACCTCAAGTTTCAGTTGCGGAAACCAATGGTACACCATATGTATTTCAACCATATACGCATACTGAAACCTTGCGTATACCTCAAGTTTCAGCAAGTTTCAGTTGCGGAAACTATTTGGATTCGTGGACACCTTTGGTTTCCGCACTCCGGAAACTTGATGAAACTTGAAGTTTCCGCACTGAAACTTTGCGGAAACTATTAGTAACCTTAAGTTTCCGCAGAGTTTCAGTAGAGTTTCATCCATGCGGAAACTGTATTTTTCATCCAGTGATGCATGTTTCAAGTATGGAATCTAGCAGTGAGAAATTTACATGTGTAGGAGAAAAGAAAGTTGAAGAAAATCACTCTTCACCAAATGAGGCTCATAAGGGATATAAGACTTCTCCCAAGACAAAACCCCCTAAACTCAAAGTCCTGTTAGTGGGGACATCTAACACTAAGAAGATTAATCCAGACATTCTTAGTTCATCATTCGTAACAACAAAAAAACTTGCATACACAATTGATGAAACCAAGGATACCATAGTAAGATATGAGGATGCAGCACCAGATGTTGTTGTTCTTCATCACCTCACCAATGATGTAAAGGCAAAAAGTCCTGAGATTTGCGTTACCAACACGGAAGAAATTATCAACATTATCAATCAAAAATGGTCAACCAAAGTGGTTCTGTCACTATGTACTCCTCGTAAAGACGACGAATTACACAGTGCAAATAGTGCTCTAATCAACGCCCTACTAAAGAAGAAATACAAAAGTGACTCACTCGTGTATATCAGTGAAAACATAAACATGTCTAATAGGCCTGCCAAAGTCCTTGAAAGGGACAATGTTCATCTTACACAAGATGGTGTTGCCATGTTAGCATCCAACATCAAAAGATCAATCCTTCTAGCTTTAGGAATCGAGCAGGCTCCATGACAGATGGGAAAAGACCAAGACCCTGACTATCACTTCACCAAATAAGTTGTACAAAAACCATCGAAAGTGGCGAAACTACCAGTACGCACCATCCGAACCATGGGAAGGGAGATCTTACCATTCTGCCAGCTACGGCTATAACTACAATTACTAAATTTTCTTTTTTATCACCATTTCAGGTGTTACTTATAAATTACACTGATGATATATATATACAATGCCATTCTTTTACCGGGTACTTCAATGTATGAATTCCATTCTCGAATATTGTACCACTTCCACTTATCGGTGCACCTGTACTCATGAATGTCGTGTTTATTTGCAACTGACTTTTGTTTTTCTCACATATTGTTGCCAGATTATACATTGTATTATATGTTTTGAAGGATGTTGTACCTTTTCTCTTGATTTGGGTTTGAAAATTTGGTATTTTTTTTCTTAGAATGTATCAAATGTATAGAAAGACAAATGTTAAATGTGCTTTTTGGAATATTGGAGGATTGATATCAAAAGGTATGAACAAAATGGATGATGAGCTTTTTCTATCAAAAATTATGGATAATGATTTAGTATTTCTTGTGGAAACACACATTGGACCAGACACAGTTGTATTACATGATGATTTTCACTGCCACACAATTTGTAGAAATATATCTAAAAATGGCAGATACTTTGGAGGGATATCAATATTAATTAAGCATGAGATTAAGGATCATGTTTCTGTAATTAAAAATACATGTAGCGAGTATCAATGGATCAAACTAGAGAAAACTTTTTTTAATTTTGATAAAGATTTGTATATATGTACTGTTTACAACCCCCCTGAGGGATCACCTACAATAACACGAAATAATGTTAATATTCTGGAACTCGTACAGAAGGATATTATTCAATATAAAGATTTAGGAAATATAATGCTTTGTGGAGATTTTAATGCTAGAACAGGAAATGGAAGTGATTATATACTAGATGATAACAATCAATATTTACCCTTATTTGAAACATATAAAATTGATAATGATATTTTCAACAGAGTTTGTGGATAAGAGAGGAAAAGAACTAATAGATTTTTGTATTGGAAACCAACTTCGTATTATGAACGGAAGATGTTTTGGTGACATTTTTGGAAATTTCACTTGCCATAATTATCATGGAAGTAGTGTTGTTGATTATCTTTTAACTGATGAAGAAATTGTACAACGTATTTTGTTTTTTGAAGTATCAGATTTTATTTCCACATTATCTGACTGCCACTGTATGTTATCATGGAATATTTTTTCTCAACATGATTCTGCTAATAGAGAAAATAGTATAGATAATAATATTTACAAGACCCATTCATCCTTTAAATGGGGGGAAGACTCTGCCATTAAATTTATAGAGGCATTACAATCCCCCAAAATAAAATGCAATCTTGATAACTCCATGAGCATCAATGACATAGAATCTATAGAATCAACAATAAATAGATTAAAAGATTCCCTAGAAGCTGCAGCGATTATGTCATTAAAACCAAACTTACCTAAAAATAAAACATGTAAAAGTAATAAAAGCTCTACTAAACATTAAAAGAAATGGTTTGATAACGAATTTGATAAATATGCGCTCAAGACTAGTTAGGAAGGGAACTTTATTTGGCCACTACCCCAGAGATATCAATATTAAGAATCAATATTACAAAGCATATAGAATATATAACAAACTACGAAAACAAAAATTTAGAACATACCATTCTAATATCATCAACAACCTAAATGCTTTAGATTCAACTGATCCAAAAAAATATTGGAAACTTATAGGCGAATTAAGAACTGGAAATACAAGGACAATTGATACATCAGTCTCTAATAATGAGTGGTTAAACCACTTCAAAAAACTGAATAAAACTCATGAGGATTTCCTCGATCGAGATCAGTTTCTTAAAGACCAACTAATACAAGCTGAGAAAACAACAACACCCATATTTAATGAGCTTGACTACAAAATATCTTTCAATGAAATAAGTAAAGCAATAGGTAAACTAAAAAATGGTAAGGCAGCTGGTACTGATAGAATATGTAATGAAATGCTTAAACATGGTCAAATGGTTCTGGTACCAATATTACTGAAAATCTTTAATGGTTGCTTAACTCATGAATATTACCCTTCTTCATGGTGTGAAGAATACATCACTCCAGTATACAAATCTAACAACACTAATGATCCCAACAATTATAGAGGAATCACAATAACCAGCTCAATCGGCAAACTGTTTAACTATATTCTTAACTCAAGATTAGATAAATATTTAAAATGCAATGATAAAATCAATCCTTGTCAAATAGGATTTACAAAACAAGCTAGAACTTCAGATCATGTTTTTGTCTTGAAAACGCTTATTGAAAAATACTGCAAATCAAAACAAGGGAAGCTATTATGCTTGCTTTGTTGACTTTCACAAGGCCTTCGATAGTATAAACCATGCTGGTCTGAAGCTTAAACTATTAAAAGCTGGTATTAGCACTAAATTTTACTCAATTGTTAAGGATATGTATTCTAAAAGCTTTTCTTCTATTAAACTGGGTAACAAATTAATCGGTCACTTCCGTATTCACAATGGGGTTAGACAAGGTGATAACATGAGCCCAAACCTATTCAAGATTTACCTCAATGATCTATCAAATTATCTGTCAAATTCTAAAAGTTTTGTAAAATAAAACAATGATTCAATTACGCCCATTCATTGCCTCATGTATGCTGATGACATGGTACTTCTCTCCCCAACTGCTGAAGGTCTACAAGAAAAACTCGATATACTAAATACATACTGTAAGAACTAGTGTCTCAAAGTTAATACAAAGAAAACAAAAATTATAGTCTTCAATTCATCCGGTAAACACGTCAAAATTCCCTTCCATCTGGATAACAATAATATTGAATGTGTTAAACAATACAAGTATCTGGGTCTGACTGTTAATGCATCTGGAACACTAAGTAATGCTAAAAATGATTGTTGTAACAAAGCCAAAAAAGCCTATTTCAAACTTCAAAAAGACTTTCTCACATTTAATCCATCAATTAGAACTGCTTTAAATGTATTTGACCACACTATTAAACCCATTATCCTGTATGGTTCAGAGTTATGGGGTTTCTTTGACCCAACAACTTCTAAATTTAAGAGAAATCCAAATATAACACTAGACAAAATATACCAAAATTTAGAAGGCGAAACTCTAAATCTTAAATTTTACAAACATTTACTAAAGGTTCATGGTAAAAGCAGCAATTTTGCTGTAAGATCTGAGCTAGGACGTTTGAATTTACATTTTGATGTCATTAAAAATATGTTGTTATACTGGCATAGATTAGAGAATCTAGATGGTAAATTTCCCTTGCTTAGTGAGGCTTTTAATTGCTCTAAAACACTACACCAAAATGGTTTTCCTTCATGGTATTCCTGTGTTAACTTCTTACTTAACCATATTGATATTAAAATTAATGATTTTCTAGGTATGTCAACCCCACAATTCAAAATCAAATTGAAAAGAATATTACTGAATTTCTATAAATTAACATGGGAAAAAGACAGGAATTTACATAAATATGGCAAATTGTCTACCTTTACCAGCATAAAGACTAAATTTTGTTTCGAACCTTATCTAGATATTCTTACAAACAATCAACATAGATCAGTTGTAACAAAGCTAAGAATATCAGCTCACAGGCTGAAAATTGAAATTGGACGTTACCAAAAAAATACCTAAAGAGGAACGAATTTGTTCACTTTGTCATCACAACGAGATTCAGGATGAAATTCATTTTCTCCTTGTATGTCCTCATCTTAATG